GCAGAGGAGGGTGGAGGTTCTGCCATGCCCCGCCAGCAAAGGCAGGCAACTTTTCCTCCTGAGCCTGTTCCGAGAATGCTGCAAGGCACCCACCGCCTGTCTTTTGAGGCAGTCCTGCAAGATGCGGCCGCTCGCTGCCGTCTTGGCAGGCGGAGATCTGCTGAATCGTTGAGCCCCTTTTAAGTGCTGGCGGTTTTTACCACCTGCAAGGCTCTGGAATGGAGGAGGAGGCATGTTTGCGGAACGGCCGCTCACCCGCTGAAAGCTGATTTGTATGCTTTCGTCTCCCATCCTGCCCACGTAACAGTTTGGGGGAACTGATTGTGGGCGCACAGGGCCCACTTAAAAATGGCTAAAATGTCTCCCTGGAAGTCGGGAGAGCTGCCCCGATGCCGAGCTTCTGTGAGGTGGTCAAATTTACCGTTTGTCAGGCCTTCGACTGGGCTTCTTGATTGGCCATGTCACCTACAGTGTTTTCATTGTTAATACTGGCTTAGATTTTCTATATATTTTCATCTCACTATGATTGTAAATTACTTCTGAGGTGCCAAGGAAATAAACGTAGCAGAAACAACCCAGAAACTTCATTTTGAAATGACTGCTGAGACCGGCCAACATGAGCACACAGTCCACGCTTCACCACTTTCATTAGCTCTCAATCCATTTTTGGGCCCACAATTTTTTTTCCTATTTTGTTTTATACAATTTCAAAACCAAAACCTGAAAAAGTGAAAATAAGCATAGCAGTATACTTTCCTTCCAGGAAATTTGAGTACAAAGAGGACACATGTAATATAAGTGTCCGTGTGGCTTAGTGGTTAGAGCATTGAACTGGGACCTGGGCAATCAAGGATCAAGCCCCCACAGAGCCATGGAGCTCACTCAATGACTTTGGATAGCTGTGGACTCTCAGCCTGGCCTACCTCACCTGGTTGTTGTGATGTAAAATGGAGAAGAGGATCGTGTAAGCCATCTTGGGTCTTTGCAAGAGAAAGAAAGACAGGACATAAATGTAAAGTAGTAATAAAATACTACACAACCCAGTATTTTATTGCATTACAAAATGGACAAGTATTAAAAATAAGGATGCATGGGCTACAACAAAGGCAGGCCAAACACCCGATGCATTTGCCCATCCATGAATCACACCCAATTCAAAGCCCCCCAGGCAAAAGTTGCGTTTCATTTATATCCTTTATTCATTGTCTAACTGGAGATGGACAATTGTCCTATCAATGCCTTTTAGCTGTCACAGGGGCTTGCAGATTACACTTAAGTTGGAGGCCTCCCAAGTCAAGCTGTCAGTTTTGATCTTTATGACTCTTTGCAACATTAAAGTCACACATTTAAGGGCTGCCATCATCCACAGGTACCTACCCAGACCACGCAATCTTATTTGGGGGTCCTTCTCTCCAGGTCCCCAAGAAAGATGAGGCAGCTGAACAGAGAAGGGCCTTTGCAGAGAAGGAACACCAAGAGCCAAATACCTTCCCCAGACACATTCGCCTGGCACTGACGTCGGTGTCATTTCAGTCCCTGCCAAAAATTTACTTTCTCGAACTTTTAGTCTGTCAGCTTCACTTAGTTTTATTCTCTTTTATCTGTGTTCATAAACTGCATTATATTTTTATGCTATTTATTACTGAATTTTTTAACTCCATTTAAAAGACATAGTGTGAGCTGTCCTAGAATGCTGTCACAGAGTAGCCTATAAATGTTATTCATAATAATAAATCTTCAGACTCTGCTGAGGGATGCAGACCAGTCTCCTCTAACTGGTGCCCTCCGAGTGCACTGGACTACAGTTCCCATCATCCCCACCCAGCACTGCCAGGCTGCTGTAGACCGTCGGTCTGAACAGAGCAAGTTTGCATGCAGAGGGGTGGCAGAGTAGCAGAACCAGAGGAAGAGTCCTGTCCCCCAACACACAGGTTGGCTGCGAGATGCTTCTGTTCCTATCAAGAGAACCAAGTTGGAACTTGTTCTTCACCCCAAACAAAGAGACCTCAGTATTCCTACTTTGTCTGGGAAGCTGGCAAAGGTCAGTGGAAGAGCATTAGTCATGCATGTAAAAGGTCCAAGAGTCAACCTGCTCCGTCTTAGCAGTTCAAAGCACCAGCTTAGCAGGCGAAAATGCTTTCTGAGACCCTTGAAGGGAGGCTGCAGCACGGAAGAGACTGTACCTGCCTTTGATGCATTGCCTGCGTCCATATTTGCCCTCCCGCCCCTTGAGATCGGCAGCAGAGGCCCTCCTCTGGGAGCCCTCCGGGAGAGACATCAGGAAGCAAAGCACCCGGAGCAGGGCCTTATTTATAATTTATTTATTAAAACATTTTTATGCCGCCCTATTCACCGAAGCCTCGGGGTGGCTTACAACAATAAATTCATCATAAGTAAAAATTAAAATATATACATTAAAATAAAATACAATTATACAATATAAAATAAGTCGCCCTGGCCAGATAAATAAGCAAATATTGTTAACAATTAAAATGACGTTTAAATAAAAAGGTCTTCGCCTGGCGCCAAAAAACAAATAACGACGGCGCCAGGCGGACCTCTCTGGGGAGCACATTCCATAGATTGGGCGCCACCGCTGAGAAAGCCCTCCTCCGAGTACCCACCCTCCTAATTTCTTTCACGGAGGGCTCCCGGAGAAGGGCCTCTCCCGCAGATCTCAGGGGGCGGCTGGGCATATATGGATGTAAGCGCTCCTTGCACCCCATCTGTGGAATGCGCTCCCCAGAGAGGTCCGCCTGGCACCGTCGTTATTTGTTTTTTGGCACCAGGCTAAGACCTTTTTATTTAAACAATATTTTAACAATGTTTAATATTTATTGATTTGAATCGTGCAGCCAGGGTGTTTTCGGGTTTTTAACTGTATTTGTATGATATTTATTTATTTCTGTGAGCCGTCCCGAGGCTATATGGCGAGGGGACGGCATACAAAAACTTATTTAAAAAAAAATTGCTGGTCTGATATGCGGGTGTTGCTAGACTTGGCCTCCAGTTCTGCAAGGCATCTTCACATGCCAGAGGCAGTCTAAGAGGTGGAAAGGGTCAAGGGGCCAGAGCGACTTCACAGCCAGGGAGGACGACAATGATCGAAGAGGCATCTTTTTTTTAAAGGATGCATAAGGGGAGACATGACAGAAATTGCCTAATACAAGAACAAGTGGAAAATCAAAATAGGAAATTCAAATGTCACTAAATGATTCACAGGGGGTGGCTGAGAAAATGATACCTTATTCTTTAACAAAGTGAAAGCCTTGCCTCAATAGATATTAGGCTTTAAAGTGGAGAAAGTTTCCCTGTGAGGACTTTCTAAGAGGCACATGGGGAATTTCTGCTTGTTTCTAGCTAGCATTCTTTTAAAGTCACAGCAGCAAACACAAGGCATGTTGGTGGCTATTTCCAGGGAGTGTGAGACAATACGGTAATGGTGACCTGTATTTTCCTAAAGTATTGCCAAAATAAGATGGAATTAACAGGCTGAAGAGTCAAAAGCTGGTTCTCTTGCAAGCCTGGTTCCAAATCACAGCCACAGGGTTGACTGAGACATGTTGCACACCTTCTCTTACAAACACAGCACAGCGAAAGAACATGAGGAAGCAATTTACTACGGACAAGTTGGAAAAAAAGAAAATTCCCCACTCAAGGGCAGAGCAAGGGTTGCCATTGAACTGCAGGTTGTTGTCGGACTGTGGGGTATTGTGTTGTCTGAACTCAGTGTTAACAAGCCATTTTAACCATAAATAACCTATGAAGAGAAGTCATGGTTTGCTGTTGGGTTGTGAATTGTAAGTTGTTCGCCCATGTTAGCCAACACATTTCAACACCCACCCATGGTTCAAGTCTCCAGCCTGTGTTTACCATGTTCTCTGAACCTATTAAGTGCCTCAAACCTTTGTCCACTTAGCTCAGTATGGCTTACCCTGACCTTCCCCAACCTGATGCTCTTCAAATGTGCCTGAGAACAATTCTCAGCATGCCCAATTCAATCACTGGAGAAGCCTGGTCTGTACTAAGGAGCTGCAGCGAACTCACCAGCGCTGCCTGGAGATGCCAGCAGGGCTCAACCTGGAACATCCGACAGGCAAGCCATGTGCTCTGTCCTTCCTCCTTAGGAAAGTGAATGTGTATGTCAGTCGTTGATGTACTCGTGGGGAAAAGGCCTGCGTGAAGCCCAGTTTGATACTCCTTTCTGCTTGGCAGAGTGACACGATTCCCCCAGACGCACTTACCCCAACCAGGGACAAGAAAGCAGAAACTCTCCAAAGTTATTTTTGCTACGCAACACGCTGCAAGAGCTGAAACCAAGCCGCCTCGTGAACGGAGCAGTTCTAGCGCTTCATCGACTGCTCCTCCACGCCTGGATATTGCTTTTTTATTTTTTTAAGGAATTGCCAGGTGCAGACGACTCTGTCGCTCCTCAAACCCCCCTTCTCTCTTTCAGCGTTTGCAACCCCCGCCCCCCCGGGGCGATACCCTACGAGGAGCCCCGGTCGACTCGAGCATGTATGCACAGAATTTCACATCCGAAACACGCGCGGGGCCATGCACGTTTACTCGGAAGGCAACCCTGGAGTGCTGGGCGAGGCTGCTTCGCAGGCAGACGTGCGCGAGGCTGCTCAGGCACCCAGCGTCGCCTCCGCACGGCCACGAACACCGAAAGCCCACAGGAGAGTCGACACGCAAATTCAGCATCCCCCACGTGGGTGAACACGGAGGCCACCGCCACGTGCTCCACTTCCTCCCTTCCGCCACTTCCGTCCTGCAGAACAGACCTATCACAGCGTGCGGACATCCCACCGCTGCCTCTCTATTGGTCATGCCCCCTCCACCCGCCTCCAGCTCAGGCGCGTCCTCGGATTGGTCAGGAGGGGCTAGCCGCCATCGGCTTGACTCGCCGACGCCGGGAAAGCCCGAAGAGAGGTCGTCCATCTTCTCGAGGAGGCGGGGCGGGTGGCCATATATCCGCCGATTGGTTGAGGCGGGAGCGTGGGGCGGGAGAAAGAGTTAAGCTAGTCGTCGACCTCGCTCTTTTCGGTTCAGGCGGAGACTCGAGCGAGGCGCTGGGAGCGTGTGGTGCCTCTTTGGACTCGCTCAACATCCGGACAACTCCGCCGCCATTATGGTGAAGCTCGCCAAGGTGAGACGCGCGGCCTAGTCGGGGAGGAATATGGTGGCTCTTTCTTTTTCATTCCCTTCGTCATGTTCGCCGCCCTCCTTTCCCCTCTCGCGCCTCTGAGGAACGGTCGAAACGGGAGGGGGCGCCTCGAGCGGCCTCGCCCGCGTGGCGGTTTCCAGCCCCCCCCCGCATCTGTGAGGGAAACACGAGAGAGCAAGGGAGACTAAGGAGGGGTTGCCGTTTCAAGGCCCCCCATCTGCACCACCCTCAGTCTTTTTGTGCCCCTTTTTATGATTGGCTTGTCAGGCGCACGCGCGCCTCACGCTGGAACGTTCGGCGCTTCTTAGGCACCCCTCCCCCTCCTCGACTCTCCTATTCAAAGCGGGCTTGGAGGGGAACTGAGGGAGAAAGGAGGCGCGCGCGCCTGGCGGGGTTTCTAGGCGGTCCCGGCCGACGAGCCCCAGCCTGAATGCGCGCGACGTCGCGCGCTCGGGCCGGCGCTGGCCAACCAGCGATCAGCGCGCGCGACGAGGAGGCGGCGGGGGGGTTTCCCCCCCCGGGGGGGGGGCTCGCTGCGGCTGGAGCGCGTGCGCACACGTTCCTCCAGTCACGTGATTCCGGCCGTGTGTGGAACGCACGTGGAGGGGGAGGCAATCGCTTTGGGTCCACGTGGTGCAACGAAGGCCTCGCCGTCTTCCCTTTTTTATCCGGGCGGGCGGGCAAGCCGCTCCGGCGGCCGTTTTCCTCCCGCTTCCCTTGTCGCAGGAGAGTGGTGCCAACTTGGGCAGCCGCTGCTTCCTTGGCTCCCGCTCGTGAGGCACGACAGGTGAAGCTCGCCACGGCCTGGGGCTCCTCCCGTCCCTCCTCCGCGAGATGGATGCTGGGTATTCGGCTTGGCTTTTCCCGCATGCTGGGCTTGAGCTTTCCGTTAATCTGTAGCCCTCCCCTATACGTAAAAAGGGCGCCCACGCCCGCTCACCGGGTGAAATCTTGAGTAAGATCTTTGGCCGAGGAGGCTGGCCTGGGGCAGAGAGGGTCTTTCCCGGCCGTATTACCGAAACCACGCTTAACTAGAGGCGTTGGGGATTGAGTTTGGGCCACTCCGCACATAAATACATGTTCTACCACTTAGCCGTGGTGGCTTTTGGGAACCCAATTTGCTGTTCTCAGAAAACATTCTTCAAATTACTTAATGTACTTGAGCATCTTTCCCCATGCTGGCTAAGTCTGGTGAGAATTGCAGTCCAGTACATCTGAAGCCGTACCAGGCTTGAGAAGGCTGTCCTGAAGTGGCTCCATACATGCCAGCCACCTCCTTGTCTTGGCCCATGAAACGCTGGCCAAGTTCAGGTCTGCTTTTTGTGTGATGGTGCAGTGATGGCAGGGTGGTATTCAGGTGGCACTGAAGGTGCGCATTGTGTTCTGTGAAGTCAGTGCCTAAACGACATGCAGTTCGGGAAAAGGCAAGACTGAGATGGAAGAAGTGAGCACGTGCTTTGAGTAACACCTTGTGAAATGAGTGGGGCTTCACAGTGCCCATCTTTCGTTGAATTGTTACTGTACTATAAAGGAAGTAACCTATTGAGCATTTATGCATTAGCAAGTTGAAGGAAGGTGATCCTTTGTAAAACAAGAGAACGCCTGTTAAAAGTTGTATGTTCGCCTTTCAATATTTTGGAGAAGAGTGAGCATGGGCCTGGTCACTCATGCAGCCAGCATCTGACTGCCTGTTTTCCCCCTTGCTTTACTGACTGCTGAACATGTGGAACTGTCAAGGAGTTTCTGCAGTGATACAGGGGCTACACAAGTGCAAGAATTTAGCAGTTGCAACAGGAACACATGAGGGGACGCTTGTCAGTAAGTGATACTTTAGGAATCTTCAAATAGGTACCTATTACCTGCAGTTGCATTTCAGCAATTCTGTGGCCCTTGCAAATCATAGTATTTTCAGATCTGAAAAAGCAGGCACCTGCCTAATGTATGGGTTTTTTCCCCACAGAACGTTAAAAATCAAGTTAAGCCAAAGAAAATGGCTGCCATTCCTCCCAAGGAAGTGGATGATAGTGAAGATGAGGATTCCTCAGAAGAAGAAGAAAGCAGCGAGGAAGAGGTGAGACTTGGCCATATGGTTGTGGCTGCTTCTGCCAGAAAAATTGATTTTGCAGTAGGAAGAAGTGTGAAGAAAACAGAAGAAAACTTCTGTAGGCTGCCTCCTCCCCCAGGGCTTGAATACATAAACTACACTTGCAGAGCCTTGCACTGAAGCCCAAGAAGGCATTGTTGCCTAAGCAATATGCAGAACCATTTAATACAATCTACAACACCTGCAATAGCCATGCTGTTATGAGATGTATTGAAGCTTGTTTTTTGTCCAAAAAAGTGCACAAATTAAAAGTTCTATATCAGGGTAGGTGTATCTGGCTTTTCTGTTTTCCTCAAAGGTGGACATTTAATGTCTAGTTTGAGAGTTTGCATCTTCAGGGCCACTAATAAAGTGGGTCTTCATGCTATATTGAGATCTGGGCATGAGGTCCTTCTGAAAGAGCATCCTAAAGGAAGTATGAAAGGGATAGCAGTTCGAAGAAGAGCCTTTTTGGTGGCCTTTCCCCCACCTTTGTAATGGACTTCTAGAGAGGTCGGCCAGGCGCCATCATTACTTTCGTTTAGGCACCAGGCAAAAACTGTCCTTTTCTGTAGGTATTTTAAAACCTGATTTTAACAACTTGCCTGTAAGATCTTGTTCTACTACCAGCAATTGGAGTTTTTTCCGTTTCTTCTCTCCCTACAACAACAAAATGTAATGTTCAGTTCAGTTTTAGTTAAGTTGATCTTTTATCTTGTTCACTTCTTATCTTGTTCACTTCTTAGCCCTCTTCAGCAGCCTATAAATTTAAAAATAAATAAGACTGGTGGCTCACCACTTTTTTGATATCAATAAAACCAGTATATAAAGTCTTGTAGTTTTGAATGCTGTTCCTCACAGCAAAAATCAATCTTATTTCTAAGTGTGGTTGTGAAGATTTAGTCTACAGAAGCAATGAAAAGAAATTTAGGTGAAGTTGACTTTCCTGTCTTGATCCTCCCTGAAATGGATCTGGAGACTGCTACAGCTATAAGGTTGTAGTTATAGTTTTCATATGTGAAGATGCCTTTCAATTTTTTCCTTAGCTGAGAAATCAAATTTCAAGCAGGCAAAAATAAGATTATAGGACATGAAGGACACATGATGAAGGTCTCCTGCCAACGTTTCATCTTATGCCCCATCCTCATGATAGTATTCTCTCTCCTAACGGTGCTTTGAAGGGCCATTAAGGTTCTTCATTAATTCTGTGGTGTAGGTTAGATTTTCCTAGTACTTGGAGGCTGTCTTCCAGCTCAGTCCAGTGTGTGTTTACTCAGAAATAAGTTAGTGTGCTCAGTATCGCTTTCTCAGGTGGCATAGGTGGCAATTATATTCTTTCATTTTGGTATTCCTTAAGGTGGTTGGTAGCACCCTCTAGCGGACTGAAACATTTCTCCTCCCACAGATAATTCCTCAGAAAAAAGTAATTACCCCAGCAAAAGCAGCATCACTTACTCCCAACAAAAAGGCAGCAACTCCTGGCAAGAAGACAGCAGCTACCCCAGCCAAAAAAGCAGTGGCTACCCCAGCCAAAAAGGCAGCTGCAACTCCAGCAAAAAAGACTCCAGTCCCGGCCAAAGGAACCAAAAATGGGAAGAATGCAAAAAAAGAAGAGAGTGAAGAGGAGGAGGACGATGAGGAAGAGGATGATGAGGAAGAGGACGATAGTGATGAGGATGAAGGTGAATTGGGCCGGGCAAAGTGGTAGATTCTTAAAGAGGAGCTTACTAGCTTGGAAACAGTAAACAGTGCAGCTTAATATCTGAGAGAATTAGACAGTGTTGTGGATATTCATCCGTTGCCCTGTGCTGGGGAGGGGGCTTGCACTCTACGCACTGGAGAGGCGACTCTTTCTAGAGGAGCCGTGCAGGAGTGACGGGTTACCCCACGTGGTCCATCAGGGGGGATATTGCAGCTCAAAATTACCCCCCCCCCCCCCGGTGGAGCTGGCCTGCATTTTTCACAGCTGTAGATCCTTGAGGTGACCAGGTGATGAATGGCAGTTCCCAGCTCCTTGCTTTTCAGGATGGGGCTCAGTAACTATTGTGTAGTTGCTCCAGCGTCACTTTGCTATTAATTACGGGTAATTGCTTGCCTCAGATGAGTCTGATGCCGAGCCTGCTGTCCCAGTGAAAAAACAGTCACAGCCCCCTGCGAAAAAGCCTGTAGCTACTGTGGTTGCTATATCAAGCAAGCAAGAGTCTGAGGAGGAGGAGGAAGATGAGGATGAAGATGATGAGGAAGATGGTAAGTCAGTTTGGCTGTGGGAAATGTATACAGGATGTTCCGCTTTGCATTTTAAAAAGTTGTGAAAGATAACAGTGGGGTGGAAAAGCAGCAAAAGTTCTGCACGGATGGGGCAGCCTACCTGGCAGAAGGTGCACTTGCCTCTGTTAGATCAAATAGATAAAAGCAGGACTGTCTGAGTCTAGTCTGCTGTGAGGGCACAGAACCGCAGCGTTCTGTGAAAACTCTGGCTTCTGCCTGGGCAGAGAGGTCCTCTTTTCTCAGTGCCTGACTGCCAGCACAGATGATGAGTACTGGGACTTAATGCTGAGCTCGTGATGTCTCCAGTATGAGCTGATGTGCTGGGCCTTGCTGCACCCTCCCGTAGCAGACGCAGCCATTATTTCTGCTTTCTTGATGAGTCCGAGAACAAGTCCCAACCGCCTTGAGCAGCCCCGTGGTATTTTTCCCCTTCTTGAGCCGAGCCCAATGCCACCATATTGGCAGAAACTGGCTTGCCTGTTACGCCTGTTTGCAGTAAGAGCTGTAACCAGTGCTCACTCTTCTGTTAGGAGGGAAGGCAATGAGCAAAAGGAGAACAGTTCTTGAGGGTATCTCTTGATCTTAAAATGGCTGTAGAATCGGAGGATGAGCCCATGGACACCACCCCAGCAAAAGGAAAGAAAGCCGTGCTTGCCAAAGCAGCACAAGCAAAGGCAACACCAGCAAAAGTTGCTAAGGAAGAGTCTGAGGAAGACGACGAGGAGGAGGATGACGAGGAGGAGGAGGACGATGATGATGAGGAGGAGGACGAGGAGGAGGACGAGGAGGAGGAAGGTGAGTTGAGCATGGCCATCTGCTGCCAGCTTCTGCAATAATTCAGTTTAGACACCAAAACTTTCAAGTTGTAAAATTGCCTTTATTTTTGGTCTCAATGCTGGAAATGATGATTTCTCGCTGAAATGATGTGATCCGAATCACACATGAACACTCCTTAAGATAGTCAAGTCCTGATCCAGCAGTCTTGTTTTTTTGGCACTCTCTTTATATCTCTTTCCTGTGTAATCTTTTTAACACCTTACTTGTGTCTCTTCATACTGCACAGAAGTAGTGCAGGAGAAACCTGGAAAACGAAAGAAGGAAATGACCAAGCAAAAAGGCACTCCAGAAGCTAAGAGAAAGAAAACAGATGGTGAGTAGCCCATGGGAGATGTTAAAATGTGCTTCGTGCTGAGTTAATAGAGGTTCCCGCCAAGAGCGCCCTTTCCCATCCTGCCATTTGCTTCACATAAAACCTGTGGGTGACAGTAGAAAGCAGGTCATTTCCCCATGTGGTTTGAAGCTGTTAACATCACCAAGAGACAAGTCTTGTGCTGCGGCTCAGCAGCTAGGAATCGGTTTGACTTTCACAAAAGGAGGCTAGCCCCCCCACCCCACCCCAGCCACCCATCAGTGTGCTTGCAAGTCCCATATAATGGAACCGATCGCCAGTTTTCATTCTCAGGATAATAATAGAGTCCTTTATCCTTCCCCATTAATGGTAGCTTGGCACATTTTGGCAGGGAAGCTTTTGGGAATCCACTGCCTCAGGCATTATTTCTAAATACGTGCCCATCCCGGTTGTATACAGGCCTTTTGTTAGTCTAAGGGGTGCTGTGAATACAGAAGAATTGAGAAGAGTGAAGGAGAGAGAAGAAAGGGATGAGAATATTTTGGGTCTGTGTTGTGGTGCTGAAAAGTCTTGGTTGCACTGTTTTAACGAGTACTTCCAGGGTTTGCTTTCAAGTAGGAATGCTAGTGAGATGTGTGCAGTGCTCCTATTTATTTAAAGCATTTGTATGCTGCCCAGTTGTGGCACAGCACCTCTGGGCGGCTCACAACACAAGATAAAAACACAGTTAGAAAGGTCCCCAGGCCAGTGCTCTAACCACAAGACCAGCCAGCGCAGTGTTGAAAATGCCTGGGTCTGATGTGCAGGAATGCTGGCTGGCTCAACACAGCCCTCACTCCAGGTATTCCTTAGGTTGTTGGTACAGCTCCTTAATGTTCCACTAACTTCCTAGAAGCTGCCTTCTCCCTCTTCATCGGCAACTTGAATGCAAACAAGGACTTCGAAGAACTAAAGGCCGCCATCAGAGATTTCTTTGCCAAAAAAGACCTTCAAGTCCAAGATGTCAGAATTGGCAACTCAAAGTAAGACTCGCATTTATTTTGCTTTGTATGCAAATAAGGTGGTTGGTTTTTAAAGCAAGACTTGCACTGTAAAATGTGTTTTCTGCTAGTAAAGCCGTTGTTATAAGGTGTAAATTACTGTTGCCTGGATCTGTTTCGCTGGTGTATTATATATCATTTAGCTTTCCAAGTAATGCACGTTGGTCTCATCTAAAATCTGACACAGTGATGGGTCTCCTTAAGAATGCAAAGCCCTGAGCTCCTACTGTAGTCGCAGTGGCTGTCCAGTTACTGGGGCCAAAGCCAGTTACTGGGGCCAAAGCCACTTCTCCTCTCAACAGTCCCAAAGCACTGTGGCAGTCAGGATCACTGAGCGGCGTAAGGGGTTTGATTTCCCAGCACCAGGGTTGCTAGGATGGGAGGCTGAGTGGAAATGGGTTTTCACATTAGCAGCTTTCAGCGGCCTCATTAAGGCAACTTTATGTATCCTTTTGATTTTGTGGTAGTTAAGAGTCGATGCTTTTGAGATTTAGAGTCAATGCTTGAACTAAATTTTCCCTGGTGCAGGAAGTTTGGCTATGTGGATTTCTCCACGGAAGCTGAGCTGGATAAAGCGCTTAAGTTCAATGGAAAGAAATGTATGGGCTTGGAAATGAAGCTGGAAAAAGCAAAGAGTAAAGAGAGCATCCAAGAGAACAAGAAAGGTGAGTACCAGGGCGATTCAGGACTGGCAGACTGTAGTCTGTCATTGAACTCTGCTAGAATGATGCTCCCCTTGCAGCACCGGCTGTACTTGCAGCCTCTTAGCAGCTCTTGAGAGCAGCTCTTAACTGCAGGGGTCTCTGGTGGGGCGTCTTACCTGACCCCTTCCTGGCTTCCAGAAACGTGGGTTTTCAAAGGGGTTGGTCCACCTCAGTAATGTTATGGCTTCCCTTTCCTAGAGAGAGACGCACGGACCATCTTTGTGAGGAATCTTGCTTACAGTGTAACCCAGGAAGAATTAAAAGAAGTATTTGACAATGCTCGGGAGGTCAGGCTGGTGTCCAAGGATGGGAACAGCAAAGGGTACGTAGCTACTCTGAATGTAGTGTGATGTTCACTGTTGTGTCATTTGGGCTCAGTAACAGTCTGAACAAATGTATAAACAGGATATTATGTAGTATGGTTCAGGGCATCCTAAAGGCCTGACCTTCTGCCTACAAGATTCTTTGTAGAGGCCACTTCTTATACTGTCACTGTCCTACCCCAGGATACACTGGTATAAGTAGCTTTTTCCACTTCCCTGGATGGTTCGTATTGGTCTCCTGGTGGGATGCTATTATCACTGTTGAAACAGTTTCTTTGAAAGAGAATTCCTTAAATTAGAGGCTTCCTGAACCAAACTTTCTCCCCGCTCTCCAGGTTTGCCTACATTGAGTTTAAATCTGAGGCAGACGCAGAGAAAGCACTGGAGGAGAAGCAGGGGATGGAGATTGAAGGCCGTGCCATTGTCATTGACTACACGGGTGAAAAGAGCCAGCAGGACAGTCGGAAAGCAGGTAAACTGCCCCCATTGGGCTCCTGTGGCAACTGGTCTCCAGCTTGGTAGGATAAGCCCAAGCATCATGGCAACGAAAATGCCACCCCGTGGAGGCCTACAAAATTAAGCATATTGCGGGCTGAGCAGTGCTTTTGCTCTCATTCCTGCAGTGAAAAGAACGAAAGGTTTCCCAATGTCTGTTTTTACTTGTTTGTTAATATTTACATGCTACCTAAATGCATCTGCCTAAAAGCCACCAAAGTGGTGCTTCTTCCCTTCTAACTGAAGGCTTAAGATCTCCTACTGTTCATAACAAGTGAAGATCTATTCTCCAAAATCATGTTTAATGTGGAAATCCGTCTCTTGCCTAGGTGAGTCAAAGACCCTTGTTGTGAACAACCTCTCATATGATGCAACAGAAGAATCTCTTCAGGAGGTCTTTGAGAAAGCTTCTTCAATCAGGATACCTCAGAACAACCAGGGGAGGCCTAAAGGGTAAGCAAATTTGATAGTCGGGGGAATAAACAGGGCATTAGCCACCCAGCTGAAATGGTGTGGGTTGCTGTCACCGTTACTTCCCAGCTTGACCCCAGCCTCTCTCTGCTTAGTTTTGCATTTGTAGAATTTGCTACAACTGAGGACGCAAAGGAAGCCATGAACTCCTGCAATAACACAGAGATTGAAGGCCGAACGATCAGGTTAGAGTTCAGCAATCAGGGAGGACCAAACAGAAGCTCCGGTGGTAGAGGAGGATTTAGTCGTAAGTAGCCTTCAGTGTCCAAACTAAATACATGGGGTCGGTGGGACACTTGATAAGCTGCAGTACTGAAACTCTGTGCTCCTGTTCAGAACAAAGCAAAACACTGTTTGTCAAAGGCCTGTCTGAAGACACGACTGAAGAGACGCTGCGCGAGTCGTTTGACGGCTCCATTGGCGCAAGAATAGTCACTGACAGAGACACCGGCTCCTCTAAAGGGTATGTGTAAAAACCAGACCCTGAATGTGCCTCGTTCAACACAAGCTTTTGGAACAGAAAAGCATCCAGTGCTCTTGCTGATCCACTGCTTGATCTCGAATAATTTTAATTTTAAACTGGCGGGGTGGTTCTGTTGAAGCAACTTAGAATACAGCTCCCCTTGACTTCTCATTGAGCTCCTTCCTGCTCTAAACCAGTGGCAGGCAATGGATTCGCACGAGAAGAAAACTAAAACTGCAGCAATGACTGTGGCTGCTTTTTGTCGCCTTCAAATTGAGACTGGTCATTGCTGTAGGACAAACTGTAGGCTTGGTGCCTGCAAATCCCATGGCCTGCAGCAAAGTGGTGTCAGGCGTGCTGAGAGCAAAGCCAGGATGGGGGGTCTTTCCCATCTTGGGGGGTTTTGCAGTATGCAGACTCTTGGTGGTCCTCCTTGTCAGAAACTTAGTAGAAGCCAAGGTGGAGAGTGTCTGGCCCCTGGCCTCTGAGAATCACACATCCATAGCCAAGTATCACACCCTCCTTGCACAGAATTTCCAAAATCTGAGGCTGACCCCATTCTAGCTTCGGAAGACCTCCATGGTCTCCTAAATGTGAGCCCAAACTTGACATTTCAGAAGAACTTCCTGAAATGCCATCCATCATTTGCTCTGTGCTCTTTGTGGCAGTTGCTCTCTGGTGCAATGGCAGCCTGAACTTGGCATCCAGCTAAAGTAATGAGCAGCAGCACAAACTGGGTGAAGGGGGAGCATCTGTGAAACGTGCCGTGCTTTTTTCCCCCCTTAACAAATGGAGAAAACCCTTGCAAATGCCTCGTTAAGAACCAGTTGACCCTGTTTCTCCTGTTGAAACCATTCTCTGCCTTCTGTAGATTTGGCTTTGTGGACTTCAGCTCTGCAGAAGATGCCAAGGCAGCAAAGGAAGCCATGGAAGATGGGGAGATTGACGGAAACAAAGTGACCCTTGATTTTGCCAAGCCCAAGGGCGACGGACAACGTGGCAGTGGCGGCTTTGGCCGTGGTGGCAGAGGCGGCCGCGGTGGCAGAGGAGGATTCGGTGGCAGGGGTGGTGGCCGCGGATTTGGAGGTAAACGCACAGCTAGCCTCACAGGACTCATCATCCATAGTTCAGCAATGTGCTGAGTATTTTCGGAGCTGTATCCCTTTTAAATTGGTGTGTTTTTCCCTCTCTCAGGCAGAGGCGGTGGCTTCCGGGGAGGCAGAGGTGGTGGTGGTGACCATAAGCCACAAGGAAAGAAGATCAAGTTTGATGACTGAGTAGTTTTCCTCCTGATGGAAAGGACTCTGGGGTTTTTAATTCTGTCACCACAAAATGAGAGCCTTCTGAGGACATTCCAAGATGCGTTGCAGTCCCCCCTTTGAGATACTTGGAAAAATCCCTTTCGATGAAGAAACAGCCGTTCGACTGCCTGGCCACACATCTGAACTTTTTAAAAGCAACAAGAAATGTGGGAGTTGACCCGTGTCAGTGCATTGTCCTGAATTTATAACATTTTATCCCATGTACAAAATTAACTTCCTTATACATTTCTGTAGGTTTTTTGTTTTTTGTTTTTTTTTTCTTGCTGTAAAAATGCAAAATGTTTTATCATTTGTGTCTTGGCATACTGTCTTGGACAGATTAAAGGGCCTAAACAGATGCTTGTATGTTTATGTATTGAAGCCTCTGAACTTTGAGAATTTCCAAGCTAACTGGGCCAGAGTTTGGTCGCAATCTTGGCCTTGTATATTTCAGCCGCTGTTGTATCCTGCCTTTTTTCCTTCTTGGGAAGGGCCCAAGATGGCTCACACAGCTCCATTTTATCCTCACGACAACCCAAGAGCAGGTTCAGCTGAGAGGCGGTGACCAGCCCAAAGTCACCCTGTGAGCTCCAGGGTGGGTGGAGACTAGAACCCTCCCCGCCCCACAGGCCTTGTACTACACTACCCACCATCCCATGCTTGTTTCCATAGAAATAATCAGTGGCCCTGACGATCTTCATTTTGGGTAATTTTTTTAAAGCCTCAGTGGACAGACAGGGTCACATGTTCTACTACTTTGTAGTCGAGGTACTTTTTGAAGAAGCACTTTGTTGGCGGGGTGGGTAAGTGGCCTGTTACTTAGTTGTATTGTTGTGCCCTTCCATCTCTCTGCTTTTTCTCCCCAAAACTAAAAAGCCCAGAACAACATCTTGTCTCAGAGATCACATACCAGCCACCAGTGGAGCCATAAATTTGATTTATAAAGGCAGGATGTTAATTTTGTGTTATTCCTAATGAATAGCCCTGCACTTAAATCTTTCCTGTTTCAGAATTGCCACACACTGGGTCAAAGTTTCAGTATACCTAACCACCGTAATCCCAAGATCGGCTTTCCTACTCTGTCACTGCCAGCTTATTCTGTATCAGTGTATGCGAGAAGTTAACTTTTTTTTTTTGCTGCAACATGGCACGTTTGACTTTCACTAGCTATTTTCATGTCACATTGGAGGATTCTTTGCAAATGCTTTTGCTTTATAACCCTGAATATTCTGAATAACAGAATTGGCTAATCCTCTCAATGTATACTAAAGGATAGTGAGACCAGTCTGGTTTTTGCAGAAGCTATGTGGCTCTCCAGTAGATTTGTTTGATACATTCTAGAACTTTACCTGAAATGGATATCTGACTTATTGGCCTGCAATTTCTTGGTTTTTTTCTTAGATTTTTTTTAAATGATGTTAGCCACTTTAATACTTCTCTGATAAGGAAGTGGTTCCTCTGCAGGAAGCATGTTTGGTACATTAGCCATTTTGGGTTTACATTTGAAAGAATTTGTAGGCAAATAACTAGATGCAACTTGTGAAAAATGCTTAGATCTTCATCACTTGCCGTCACAATTGTAGACTCTGAAAGCGTGTGTTCAAGGATGGGAATGCACTTCCTCTGCTCCCCCCTTCGTCCATTTGGCAGATAGTTCTTTGAAATCCGGTGGTCGTCTCATCCCCATAGCAGTCCGGCATCTGAAGGTGTTGCTTCAGTGTTGGATTCAATATGCATCACACACTTACTGTGTGTTCTTTTGGCCAAAAGGTCAGTGTTTCTGATTCTGGCAGGACTTGCTCTTTCTCGGAAGTGACGCTTCCTTTCTTAATAACAGGCATTCTCTCTGATGGGTTACCTTTACTTCAGCATAAACAACAGTTGTGCTGTGAATAACCCAACCTTTCTTGATTGAAGTCGCCTCCTCTGAAAGGATGTTCTTTTTCCTTGGTAGTGATCCACTCACATTTGAACCGATGGCAACGTTCTTGCCATTTTTACATAACCCCAGGCCATGGTCTGCATGCTAAATCACCTTTTTCTGCAAGATGTAACACTTAGGCTGCTCACATCCTTCGTGCTGTGGCTTTTTCAGAGACATTCCGTGTAAGAATATTTCCTGTTTTCAGATTTTTAGCTTGAATTGCCTCTGCTGAATGGAGTGGTAGCCTCCAGTATGTTTTTTTCCGTAGAGGTGGAGAACAGGCTTTCCAGATGTTGGTGGCCCACAAGCCCAGCCATCTCTAACCATCCAACCTCTGCTATAGTGTTGGATCCAACCCGTATTCTGCTGGTTCTTTCCGTTCCGCTAGGTTTCTATTATGCCCAAGCACTGCAACTGTTTTGTCATGGCTTGGAGGTAAACTATTGTATGTTCAGAAAATTGGGCACGGAGACCAATGCCCATTGAAAGAGAATAAGGCTGTTTGTAGTTTTAAGTGCCCTTAACCAATTTGGCAAGCATATTGGACTATTTGCGCCAGATCTGTATAGTGTAACCTGACCATTGGGTAGGGTAGGGGTGTTGTGAGCCGCCCCACAAAATGATACACTCTTGTTTGTCTGTGGAAAGGAGGCTGAGCTGCTTTTCCATGTGACTTCCATGCATTCTTTGTTCACTTGGTCAAGGAGAATGATGTGAGCTGCCTTGAGCCCTTTGTAGGAAAAAGGCAGGCTATAAATTGCAATATAAATAAATAAAGGACACCCACGCTGCAAACAGCCTCCTTTTCCTTGCATGTGTTTCCTGCAGCGAAAGCCCCGCATAGAGTGATGTCCATCCGTCATGCCACTGCATGTGGAAGCAGAGCCCAGAGGGATTCGGATGACCTGCCCGAGTCAGAAGACTTGAGCGCGCCAAGGAACAGCCGCGTACCCTGAGCCGGAATGAGAAAACCCTTGGAATGGGTGCGATCACACAAAGCAAATGGGTGGTATAGAAATTAATAATTTTAAAAAATTAATAATTCAGGAATGAGTGGCGGTGACTTCGGCTGGCTTTGCTGTCTCGGGAGGCAGCAGCGGGTCTTGGCACTTGCTGTCCTCACCTTCGAAGTCCTTGAGCCAGTCCAGCCAACTTGCTGCAGCAATCGTCGGCATGACAGGTGTGTCGGAGGGACCTTGGCTATTGTGTGGTAGAGAAAATCAATACAGCCAATGGTTGCCTATTGCTAAAAAGGATGATGTTCTCAGGAGGGGACAAGCTTGAAAGAATGCATGTGGTCCCGATCGAATGCCTTCTGCTTCTTCAGAAGTATCCCATGCTTTGTTGTCCGCTCGACCACTGACCGGACATTTTGCATGAGCCCTTTGGCTGGCCAGCAAGAAGCAAGCTGGACTAGCACCCAGGGCAGGCAGAAGGGAGAGGTCCGGCTGTCGGACTTCAGCTCCCGGAACCTCCTCACAGCCTGGCCAATGGCCAGGAACACCAGAAGCAGAAGTCCAAAATTTGCAGGTCAATTCCCTGCCCATCCCTGGACTGCAAGGACGTTTTTACATTAGCTTTGTGTTTCAAAGCTAAACATCAGTTCTCAAATACTGATGTATTTAATAAAAGTATTTATAAATACTTTTATTTTATTTAAATGTTATTTTAATAATTGTTAATATTATTTATTGGTTTTAAATTTTTTAGCCAGGATGTTTCCAGATTTTATATGTACTTATCTGTATGATTGTTCATGATGTTGGAAGCCGTCCCAAGGCAAAAATTATTATTTGTATTCCAAAATTATTTGGAATACAAAAATTCCAAATAAATAAATACAATAAAAACCTTAAGGCAAGGTAAGCTGGATGTTTGGGCCTATAACTCCCGTCATCCCTGGCCTGCATAGCAAATGCTGAGGGTTGGAGTGCCCGCCAGATGCTTTGTCCTGGCCTCCCAAGTTGCCTGGGGCTGCATGGCCCTGAGGGCAAGACTGAAAATACAGAAGCACCACGGAGGTGAGTGTGTGTGATTTTCCCAGCCGTGGACCATTTCCCAGCCTGGAGCCCTGCATGCTGCCTGGGAAGAACAGGAGCTGCAGTCCTATGGATCTGGGGGGAACCAAGACGAAGAAGGCTGATCATTTATCCGATTATATAAACATGCATTCTCACTGTGAAAGATGGGGCGATTATCCACGAACACAACCATCATAACTGGTGCACTGCGAACAAGGGAGAGATATAAGATTTTATCAGACGGGGAGGCCATATAGATGATCTTTTTAACATTTCATTGGAAATGGATTTAGGGAAGGTTGTAGACAAGGAAGAATGGGGGAAATATGAGATAAAAGAATATTAAAATTATGTCAGTTAGAATTAAGGATTCTAATTTTATATGAATAATAAATATTATAATTTATGTTGGAGATGTGGACAAAAGGGTCCCTATTTCCATAGGCGGTAGGACTGTGAAAATATAAAAAAAATGGATGATGATTTTTAAGGAGATTAGTAAGGCATTGTACTTAAAGTGGATTCTGAAATAGCATTATTGTTAATATCTGGTGAAAAGAAATGGAAATGGAATATTAAAGAATAAAATTGAGTAACAGCAGCAAAATTGATAATAGCAAAGAACTGGAAGGCAAAAATGGGACATTCAGCTAATTTAATGGTATAACGAAGCTTGGAATATAGCAGTTAATGATAAGTTGACCTGTGAGATTATAGAGTGAAAAAGGACAGATAAAGAATGATTTTAATGATATTTGGAGCTTGTTTATTGAATATGTATGAACAAAAGGGGGTGTTAGACCTTCAAAGAATATAATGCAATCTTGGATGGAAGGAGTTTTTCTTGGAAGAGCAGAAAAATGAAGGGAAACGTGCTATGCAGGCATGGTCCCGGCGGAGGGGCGCATGGCTTTTCTGGTGTCCTTCCGACGTTCAGCCATTTTGAAGGATGCTACTCAAAAGACCTTGGAGCAAATGGTAGGGAAGACGCAGCGTGTCCCGCTCCGGCCGCTAGGTGGCAGCAGCGCGCCAAGCAACTTGGGTTCTCCTCGAGTCCAGTCCTAGCTAGTGTACCTGTTCATGGTGGGATTGCTCCAGCCCCTGGGTCACTTCAGTTGTGCCTTTTCCAACTCAATAACACCCTTTTTAGGTGTGGTGTCCAGACCTGTACAAATTATTCCAACTGCAGTTGCACCAAAGATTTGAATAAGGGCTGTACATTCTTGGCAGTTTTATTTCCAGTTTCTTTCCTAGTTATGCCTAACACAGACTTTGCCTTTTTTATTGCCAGCCACACAGCGGTCAACTTGTTCAACAAACCGTCCGCTCCAACTCCAAGAACCCTTTGATCAGTTACTGTTGGCCATTTTGATGCCCCTTTTAAGAACAACCCCTCCTTTTATGCCATGACTC